GTTTTCTCAAGTGATCCCAGTCATCTGGGATGTAATTAACTATAGGGGTTTGCCTCTATAAGGAACTTGGAACCCAGGTAAAATAAAGTCTATTTGATTTTTTTATTAGATAGGAGAACTTGTAGGTCACACATAAAAGGTTCGCAGACCAAACGGATGTCACAAATCCCTTAATTTGTATAATTGGGTCCATCGCCAAGATATACACTTATCTTTCAGGAATGTGTAGTATTTGTGGTATCGAGCACGATTATATAGACTATTGGACGAAGAAGATTTATTTGGTCTCATTTTTTCAAAAAAATTAAAACATAATATTTTAAAACCAAAACTATATACCTCTTATATTAAATTAAATTAAAAAAAAAATTTCAAACCAAAAAGTTTACCGAAAATGCTTCCCTATACGCGCACAAATGTTGCAAACCTGATTTCCAAAATTTTTATAATTCAAAAGGTGTTTTTACAACAACTTTGGTTGAAACTTAATTTAAAATATACACAAACATTTTAAAGCTTCACTCACAAAAATTTAGATAATTTAGAGATATTAATCATGTTTCTTACCATATCTATTAGTTTTCAGTTCCTTCATTCAACCACATTTTTATGAATCAAATAAATTATATTGAGCAAAAATCTCATTTTTTTTAAAAAAAATTCGCAAATAGATTACCCCCTTGTCTATCTTCACAGTATCTTCAGTTTATCTTTCATAATACTCATCACTTATATTCGAACTCATAATCCCATTTTAATATCTATATATTGTCACTTTGAAAGCTTCAGTTTGCAAGAAATTAGGTAATTTAATACTACTAATCATGCTCCTCAAAACATTTTATTAGTATGTCATTCCTACTTTCAACCACGCCTTTAAAATTAGAAGAGCCAGATAGATTATAGTGAGCAACAATACCATTACTTAAAAGGAACTAGCAACTTATATATCTTCAGTGTATCTCTCATAATGTTCACCACTTCTATAAGATTTTGCAATCTTAATTTATTTTCACATTATTTTCTTACTTTTGTCTTAAAAATATTAAAAAGCTTCAATGATTTATTTTTATTCAGAAGTTAGTAGAGATACATATAACGTGTGTAATCATGAATAAAGTTCATAAAATACTTTGAACCATGAAAATTAATATATACACAACTATTTATTTGTATCATTTCTAATATGTTTTCTACTCATCATTGCATTTTTTTTAAAATTTATTAGTTTTTTAATCCTTTATGCAAGTTAGACAAGTATCAAAATTAATAAAATACAAAATACAAAATACTCTCACTAATCTTAATTCCATCTATTGATCTCGTTCTTTGAATGGATATGTTGAACACCTCTTACTAACTTCCTTAGGTTTTGCATATCCTATATGGTAATACAAATGTAAATTATAACATTAGATTTAATTTATTAAGTGTTATAAATAATGTTGATCATATAAGATTCATAACAAACAAGTGAAATTGTACTTTCTTATCAAATCAAGTCTAAAATTCGATGCAATCTTTATTCATGCCACTTCTTACAGAAGAAGCACTTGGATTATTTTTTTATTTCAACTTGGAGTGATAATTTACATTTCTCTTTCTACTTGATTTGGCTAACTCTAACCCATTTTGTGTGTTACTAGCATTGCACTTTTACCCATTTTCATGACCAACCTTTCTTCCTCTTAAACACATAGAATTAAAAATTTATTAATTGATCATTTATATTTATGTGTGATAAGATTTGTTGAAGGAATCATATTACTGTGGATGAGTGTCCATAACATAATGTACTAAAAAAGACTTGGATATGTCAATCTCAAGTATATATATGCTCTTGCATACTGTCAATTTCAGTTAGTTTAAGGGATGAGAACTTCATAACTAAGATACTCACAAGAAATTTATGTGAAATACTAAATTGTTCATCAATTGTCTTGAGTAGCTTTCTAACATTGTTATATTGATCTATTAAATCATGAATACGGGCAAATATATTTGGCTTTATGAACATTAAATTGAGGTGACTATATTTTTTTCTAATATTCATAAAAAGCAACGTGATCAACAATATTTATTTCAATAATCACACGTGGTTCGTCTTTCTTAATAGTACAATCAATATTCATCCACCTTAACTAAAAGAGAATTTTCACAATTAACATCCCTCAATTATAAAAACATATTTTTATTTATTTTAATTTTTCACTCATGCAATCAACTAATATTTATGATATTAATTTTTTTTTATAGTGGAGTCACATTAAAAAATTTAAAAAAATTAATATCTTAAATATTAGCTGATTTCATGCGTGCAAAACTAAAGTAAATAAAAACATATTTTTATACGAAAATCAGGCTCATAAATATAAATCATATATTGAACAATTATGAGTTTACTGGCATAAAATTTGCTTGTAGGCTAAATTCTAATTCATTCAAATTCACTTAAATCTTTATGATAAAACTATAAAATTTGTTCCCTTTTCTAATCCATGTGGGTAAGTCAAAAAACAAAATGTAAATTAAATAAATATAATAAAAATTACTAGAGGATAATACATTATATTTATATAATTAATTAAAATTAATATCTTTAATCATATATATGATTTATAAAATTTATTATAATTAAGGATATTGTGACTATTTATTAATGATTCAAATTATATAAATCATTAAGACATTAATTTTTATATACTCAATTATTAGATTTTTCAATTAAAGGCATGATCGTAAATGGTTAACATAGGAACCAACCAGTAAAATACATTAATATCAAGCAAACTTATAAATTGATTTAATCAAGTGAAAATGAATTTAATTTGAACTCTAAGAGTAAAGGTCTTCAATTAAATTGAGATAAAGATCACAGTGAAATCTAGACAATATAACACTTAAAATTATTTATGCAAAATAAGGGTGAATTAATTATAGGTACATACATGATGCCGATTTAAGGTTTTCAATGGTAACTCAGAAAGCTTTGATCGATTAAAGGACGGCAAATGCTGAGCTCCGATACTATGCATTCCAGAGTTTGAGAAACCGTTCCAAAGTGAAATCTGACACATCGGTCATAAACATGGGAACAATTTTGATACAGAAAGGAAAACAAAAAATTGTTTTTCAATGAAAAACTAGTATCACTTAACAAAAAAGGTCTACATATATGCAGAAACTTTATGCTGTTGTTCGAGTATTAAAGAATTGGGACCATTACCTGTTGCATCAGGAGTTTCTGCCTCTTGGTGATCACCAGCCCCTTCAATTTCTACAATCCCAACGAAATCTCAAAAGAATGCATGTTGTGGCCATTATATAAAATTTTAGCTTTGTGGTGATACATTAAGTTGGTCATACCATTAAGGTTCTCGATGCTTTTAAGTCAGAGAGCAAGCTTATTAATGGTGACTCAATAAAAAATTAATGGAATAAGTCTATGGGAATTGCATTCTCAAGATGAAGATTGGACATAGGCAATCTGACACATCCCATAAGGAGATTACACACTTCAACAAGGATAGCTCTTTAAAATCAATTGTGTATATCCAACACATCCCTTAGAAAATAATTCAAAGCTATCACGGTGAAGAATTAGTAGCACATGTGGGGCGAGACAAAAATTTACAACTAGTACAATCTCATTTTTATTGACCAAAGCAGAGGAGAGACATGTCGATTCAAGGAGAACTGTTCTATTTGCCAAAGGTTTAAAGTCACTGGACAGAACACGAGATTTTATAGCCCATTGCATATTCCAAACTTCTATCTAGGAAAATCTCAATATTGATTTTTTTGTTGGGTTTACCCCATGCAGGATATTGATCCGATTCCGACTTGGTGGTCGTAGATCATTTCTATAAATAACGCACTTTGTTGCTTATAAAAAGATTTTTGATCCATTACATGTTGCCAAGCTTTTCTTTAAGGAGATTGTCAGGTTACATGGTCTTCCGTAAAGTCTAGCTTCTGATCGTGATGTGAAATTATAAGTAATTCCTGGAAGAAATTATGAAAGCGAAGTGGTAAACCGTACATTGGAAAATATGGTACGGTGAATTGCAGGAGATCAACCTAAGCAATGGGATGAATGTTTGGCACAGGCAGAATTTGTATTCAATTCGACGAATAACTGATTTACCGGCCATCCTCCATTCAGCAAAGTTTATATTAAGGCACCTAATTATTGGTTGCTATCGCACTGTCGCTATCCTTTCTAAACCCAGAAGCTGTGATGCCACAAAACTAGTTGACAATTCTGAATTGATGCTACGAGGTCAAAGAAAAGCTGACTGATTCCTCTCAGCGGTATAAACTACAAGCTGATAGATGCTATATATCAAAAGTGTTCAAGGAAGGTGATTTAGTTATTGTGAGACTACTCAAAAGTGCTGTTTCCACCCGGCGCTTGTTCCAAACAGAAACCTAGCAAAATTGGACCATATCCTTTAGCTAGTGTATCAATGATAATGCATTTGTGCTAGAGTTATCACCTAATCTGATAATTTAAATACATTCAATGTATCAGACATATACTCCTACCACTTGTCTGACGACAGACAGTTCCAATCTTTTGAAATTGAGTCGAGTTCTAGGATGGAAGGGATCTGATGCAACTATCTACATCCGAAGACTACATAGGTTGTTTGCCACTTTTTGTCTCTTATTACAACGATTTCACAAGATTCCAATCATTTGTCAGCCCAAAGGATTCTTAAGAAGGCACGAGATCATAAAAGGCCTTGAAGGATTTATTTCAGATACAGATCTTTGATGCACAATTAGAAGTTACCATTTTAGGAAAATCCTAAGGCCAACCAATTAGAATAATCGATTCTATGTTTGAACTACTCATAACCAAAAAATAATAAATATAAATACAAAGGATTTACTGTGTAATTCTAACTATCATGAAGAATTCAAAGTAATTCCTTTTTGGTAATGTAAGTTGGGAAATGCTTTTGTGCAGTTAGCTGTAGAAAAATAATGAATACCTTTTCTGAAAAATATGTGCAACAAAGGCAAGATTCAGATTGGGTGAACCATCAACAATGTCTTCAGGAGTCACGTATCTTTTACAACCCATTCTATCAGCATGTTCAAGGACAAGCTTCGCTCTTTCTAGAAGGTCTTTTACATTCTTTTCAGAAAGCTTAATACTGTGTTCAGGTGCCAAAACATTAAGAAGACATGCATAAGCCTCTGAATCCTGACCGGCCGAAAAGATAGTATTATCAGTAATTTTCAGAAAGAAAAATAGGAAGTGTTTGCTAGCTGAAGAAAACTAGTTCGAAAAGAAAACTCTTTATCGCACTGAATGAACAAAACATGAGTAAAATAAAAGGATTGATTATATGTACCTGCAGCAGGTGATGGAAACTACGCTTTGGTTGTAACCCAATAATACGCAACATAACTCACCAAAAAAGAAGGAAATTATTATAGCAGAAATAATAATGCGCTATCTAATCTTTTAAAGCTCATGATTAAATAAACTTTCTCAAGTTGGTATTCGCACTTCATTGATATTAGAGTATTAATTTACAGAACAGGTCAAAATAAATTACCAAGTGAGAGCTTAAACCCTCTCTACGGTTAATCGGAGCAGGTCTGGAAGAAAAAACTTTTACCATGGAAAACAGCAAAAGAAAGAGAGGTATAAAACTGCAAGAACATTCACCTTCATTGCATGATCTTTTAATGTGTTCAATCAGTAGTCATTAATGCTAAATTGTTTAAAAACTAAGAAATATTCAAAACCTAATCGGTACATTCATAACAAGGGCATAAATAGTGTATTATAGTGTTTTACAAATAAATTCCTAGACTTCTTCAATATTCCCTTTTTACCAGTAGGACCCTTAATAAGGTCCAATGCTCAATACTCCCCCTCCAGATAGGCAAATGATATCCACTAAGTTGTCACATCACCTATACAAATCTAATGAACTAAGTTCTTTAGTATGGCAGTCAGCCAGGTGCAACTCGTTATTCGGCTTTTCCTTGATGAAGAATCTATCAAACTCCACATATTTGGTTCCAACGTGTTGCACCGGGATGTCAGAAATGTCAATTGTTGACTTGTTGTAGCACCGAAATTCCACCTTGAACACAACCAACAAAGCTCTCAGCCACATCATCTCAGCAACTCTTAAGGCCATGGTCTTGTACCTCGTTACTACGGACTGTTTCATGCTCTTCCAAGAGACCAAGTTGCCCCCTACGAACATGCAGTATCCTAAAGCCCAGTCAGCATCACAAAAGCCCTCAATGTCTATATGCTCATTCTTTCTAAAGATCAACTCCTTCTTTGGTGCACTCTTTAAGTACCTCAGAATCTGATATTCTGCATCTATATGACCCTTCTTTGGATCATGCATTTAACGGCTCACCACGCTCGTTGCAAAAGAGATGTCAAGTTATGTGTGACACAGATAGACAGACGACCCATCAATCTCTGGTAACTCTAACGATCAACCACTTCTCCTACCTCTGCACTCAGCTTGGCCTTCTGGTTAATTGGGGAGATTGCAGTTCTGCACCTCAGCATATATGTTTTCATGAGGAGATCTAATACATACTTTCTCTAGAATAAGTCCATCGCCTCAAGTCCACGGGCCACTTCAATCCCAAGAAAGTATTTGGGTTGTCCAAGATCCTTCACCTCAAATTCATTGCACAATCTTTTAAATTTAGTTGAGCAATCTCTGTCTCATCATCACTGGTTCCTCAACTGATTCATCACACATCATAAGACAAGGCATTTCTCCAATGTGTACCACTCTCTCACCATTGCTTCTTACCCCCTGCCTCATATCTCCAGTATTTGGCAAGTCACCGAAGGGTAAGGCCAGCTCCTAGGTGCAGTACGATTCATATTCTCTAAATGACACAAACAGTTTCTTCTTTATTGGGCTTTAACAGACACACCCCTTCTAGGTAGCAGAATAACATACAAGCATGCATTTCACAACTTTGTGATCCAGCTTCCCTACCGACGACTTGTCATTCACAAAATATACACAGCCAAATCCTTCAATGGGATGATCACGCTATTATCTTCACTCAACATCTGAAAATGAGACTTTCAATCCAACACCCTGGAGGGTATCCTGTTGATCAATTGAGCAGCTGTGAGAATTGCTTACCCCCATAACTACTTTGGGACATTAATTACAATCATGATGTTTGGGGCGACCTCTAGGTGTTTATTATTCTTTTCAGCTACTCTGTTGGTGTGTATAGTCATGTGGTTTGATTTTCTATTCCTCGGACTAACAAGTATTCCCCAAATTCTTTCTTAGTATACTTTATCACATTATCAGGCAGAATAACTTCACTACTACACCACATTGAGTCTGGATTGCCTTGTACAAATCTTTAAAGCAAGCAAACGCATCACCATTATTTTTCTCAAATATAACCAAGTAACATGAGAGAAACTATCAATAAAGGTCACAAAATATAGATAATCATTCATAGAAGTTGTAGAACATGATTCCCAAACATCAGAATGTATCAAGTCAAAAACACTAAAGCTCAAAACTAATATAAAAGCTCCTAGTAAGCTTGTCAAACTCAAAAGCATCACCAAAAAGCTTTTGTTTATTTGTCTTTTTCATATAAAGAATGATACAACTGACTCACTAAACTAAAATAAAAGTGTCTCATGCGTCAGGGATGTAGCAGCAACACATAATCCGCACTCCTCCCAAATTCTCCTACTTCAACACTCTCTACCATGGAAGTCAAAGATGAGTTCATCCGTTATCAGTTCAAGTACCAGAATCTACAATGCCACGTTTCAGTGACAAGTGTCGGCCCGCCCCTTTCTCTTGAAAGATCACCTAGGGAATATAGAAAGAAACATTACATTTGAGTTGTAGAATAATGACACTAATGGATAAAAGGTTCACTGAAAAAGGAGCATGTAAAACATTGGACAAAGTCAATTAGCACCCTCACTATAACCTTACCAACTATAGGTTATGTTGTATCATCAGTAGTCTGGATGTTCTCTGATACTGTTAGGCTTGCTAGCAGTACTTGTCATATGTCAAGATACACTAGAATTTACTATCCATTCTGATGATCCTGTGGTAAAAATAGAGGCAAAAGTATGGGTGTCAATCACAAGTACCTATGTTAGAGTGAGCATAAGTGGCAATGTTACCCATTAATGGTGACCGGTTGGAAGCATTCTCAGCCCCATCTCTACATCCTCTATCACCATCAAATTTGCCCGATAGCCCCATTTTCACCTTTTTGACCACCACAACCTCTGCCTTGTCCACGTCCACATGTCTCTCTCGTTAGATGGCCTAGGACAACTCTTACTCAGATTCGCAACTTCATCACAATTATAACACTTGTGAGTCTCCCCCTAGACACCTATCATACCTGAGCTCGAGACGGCCAAAGTTGATCGTGCACCTGGAAGTCCATTAGGCTTAGAGTGTAGCTTCATGCGACTCTCCTGTATCATCGCAGCAATGGCTACATCCAGTAAAGGGATAGTCTCTTGAGCTAGGATAACTGATCTCCTCTGATCATAGATCAGTTCGGATAGACCAGAAACAATATAATCCTCATTTGTGTAAAGATATCTTGATATCGGGTCGAAAAGGAGAGGAAATTTGGGTTGTGATACTATAGCAACTACAATATCGTGTGCGCAACAATGTAGCAACTACAGTATCTCGGTCCCAAAAAGCTCCCGTGACAATCTCCTAGGGTTGGGGGAACTTCTACCTCATTTGTTGAAGCTTTTAGGGTAGAAAAAGTTTGGTGAGTGTAGTTTGGATAGGGACAGATCTAGGGAATCCTAGGATAGAACTAGGGTTGGGCTGACTCTGAAACCAATTGATATCGGAGGAAGCCCAAAACACAACATAAATAATAATATTATTATTGAATTTCAAAGATTAGAGTATGACTCGTTAAAATAAGAAATAAACGACAACAAAATAACAACACAAAAATAAAGACACAACACAGACTCCAATAAGTGCGAAAAGATAAAATGTCTCTTCGTGGTCAAGCTACAGCTGCAACACCACCCCAACCTTGGAGACGGTCACCACCTCGAACGAGTTAAGCTGAGCACCTTCTCGTCGTCGGATGCAACCCCTCGAGGGGAATAATGCCTCAAAGGCAGCACTCAAAAATATGCACTCATCTAAATCTCCTTTCCTAAGCAAAAATAACCCTTATATATAAGGAATTAGGACTTATATTAGGCAATGCTTTCAATTAGAAAATAGATTAAAAAAGAAGTAATATAATAGGAAAGGATTTATAATAGGGGATTTCATGGAAAAGGAAAGAAATAGAAAGACGTGCATAAAATAGGTAGGAAGTAAAATAGGAGAGTCATAGAGAATGAAAGGTAGAGAGAGAAGCGAAAAAAGGAAATCGCGACTAGAACATCATCTCTCATTTCTTGAACTCCTGATTGCCACAGCTTGACATCATGAGAAGTGAACAAGATCTACCATAGCCGATCCAGATCTATGGCATATCCCTGAATCGATCTCACACTTTATCACTGCTTCTATTTCACGCTGAATCTGGAACACACTCATGTGGTTTGCAGTCTCAGCATAAATCTTCTTTAACTTTACCCATATGTCACTAACCTTTTGAATAACATCTATTGAAGATGCAAATGATGGAACCAACGAGTTGAGTAGCCATGTGTAGATTAAGGAGGGTGTGATCCTCCACTAATCTATCTCAGAACTATCATTATTTGGCTCGTCCTCGGTCAGATATCCCCTTAAGCTCTTCCCTCTCAGAACCATCTCAATCCGACATGACCTACTCCGATAAGCGGTTGGTCCATCAAGCTTCAAATCCACAGGAGGGAGATCTAACTTCATCTGCATCAAAGTACGTGCTGAGGTGATAGCTCTCATCAAAATTCTAGCTCCATGTATAAGCCCGACCAAGACCTTCAAAACCTCGGGATCTGTCTTCCCCAGAAGCTCCAATCATTTACCTCCCACAATACCTCCATCTCCTAACATCCTTAATCACAAGAATCCAAGTTTAGATCACACAGAACATGTGCAAATTTGATCATTTGTGTTTGTACTTTGTGATCACATATGAGATCTCGTCATGGCCTTCCTATCCGGTCAGTAATCACGTCGTGACCTCCCCGCCGGCCCCACGTGATTCTTTCACGAAGGATCAGAAATAGGAGAAGGACCGAAGTTAAGGGCCTCTGAAAGCTACGATACTCTGCGACCTTTTAGCGGCTCTAGTTGTGACTGTATCGCGATGTGCATTCCCGTACAATCCCATGATGCTTCCCTACTAGCTCCAACAGCAATTGTCCAATGATGTCACAAGGACCTACACGCCGCGATCCCTAGCTCTTTCCGCAATAGTATTGCATTGATCAGTGAGATCTTGAGAGCATGCAATGCGACGGGGACCTGCACGACGTGAACACTGGCTCTTTCCGTGATAGAAACGCATGGATCGGAGCAATTTTGAGAGCTTTGAGTCTCTGTTCATCGTGATCCCCCCGGCAGATGGAGCTTTGGGTCTCTATAATCGTACGCCGATCCCGGCCATCCGAGACAGCTAGGGTTTTGCTTTGATTTTAAAAAGAAAGAAATGTTTAAAACCTAATCTATACGTTGATAACATGAACTTTAATAGGGTATTACATTGATTTACAAATAAAACCTAGACTTCTTCAATATTCCCTTTTTTACGAATAGGACCATAAATAAGGTTCAATTTTCAACAGTCTATGTATATTATGCATTTCATATATTGTATATCATGACAATTGGAAGTGATTATTATAGCTAGTATAATCAGCAATGTGCTATTTGTAGAGGATTTAACTAAAGACGGTGCATAAAAATAGATGCATTTAAGTTGTATATGATGAGACAGTCAAGTCTTGACTAATTTCAGCAAACGATAATTCAAAATAATTGTTATTTCCTGATAAATATACCAATATACCCAAACAAATCCCAATTGTACAATTATTTTCCCATTAGGTATAACAAGGAAAAATATACTCAAATACTCAATAAAACAAATCAATAATCGTGGTTATTGAAAATATTAGAAAATCTAATTCATAAACACTGTTAAGAAAAAAAATAAAGACCCGATTTTTTTTTTCAAATTAAAAGCTTTTTGCTGAAGTGCATTTAATTATCTAATGATAGGAACAAATCCAGATATTCACCTTAATATCTGACGAAAAATTTGTTATAGCTCTTTTGAAACCCCCCTTCTTAAGCTGAAAATTCATCCACCTAAGCAAAATCTTATCTGGTGGTAGATTCATGAGCTCTTCCATTTCCTACATTCAATTTGTTATGTTCATTGAAAATACTTTTAAAATGATTAAATTACCAAAGCAGAACTTCCGGTTTTACTCAGAGAGGTTCAACTAGCTTACCCTGCTATCTCCAACCAACTCTACCAGCTGGGGAGTTTTCTTGAGGTTAACATCAGCTAAAAGTTGTATCTAAGGGCAGCAAATCACAGAAAAGTGAAAATCATTAGCAAATAAATGAAGCACGAGGAACTAACATGTGTAAAATCTACCAAATTTAGTGGCTCGCTAAGCAGGAAACCATACCTTAATGATTTGAGATATCAAACCAAGAACAAGATGGGGCTGACACAAAAAAGGTAAATGCAGAATCGGTCATCAAAAGAATGAAGATTTCAGGCAAGAAGTAATTGAAATAAAAATGGAAAATTAAATTTTCATGCTAGAAATGATGAAATGGTGGACTAGATGCAATGTTTATTAAATAAGGCTGCATCTAGTAATTCTATGGTAGATTCTCTTGCTAAGTAGTTTCAAAAGTTCCTTGTCACATAGTCATGCATTAGTTTGCTTCAGGTTTGTCAAAACCCAAATTCCTCGGATTATTCTCTCCACTTGTGTCTTAGACTCTACACCTCTCATCTCGTCCTTTCTTTTAAAAATATCTTTGATTATATCGCTATGTGTAATGCTTCTCCAAATATTGATCATTGATTACTGACAATGGTAGTTGGTTGTTTAGGTGATGAGTTGATAGGCTCAAATAATAGAAGGGTCTTCCATGTTGGGTCAAATTTAATATCGGTAATGATTTGTCTCCTCAGTGCAAAGACTAATTCTCCCACTTGAAATATTTGAAATTCATCTTCTTCATTTTAAGCAGCAGATTAGAACAAAGTGTAAGGAGATCCATAATTGTATCATATTTGGCTTTAATGACACCTCTTTCCCGCTAGTAAGAATTTAATAGCCCTTCCCCTTATGAGGTTGAAATCTAATTAGTCGTGAGATGATTCCTTATAAAATTCTTCAAGGTATCGACCATCACGATATTCGTCAATGAAGACCTTATGGATCCATTCTTGATGAATTTTATTAATAGTGAATCTTTGATAGCACAAACCAAATGTCACATGCTTTCGTGAGGCTTTGACCTCCAAATCTCTTTGTTCTTCTATCGGGACCTCTGAACGATAGATTCCTAGATGCATGGTCCTAATATTACACCTCGATATTCACCTTACAGAACTTGCTTAATATAATTTTGGACTACTACAACAGATAATAACTTTTTTATTAGAGTTTAATTGGTCTCGATCATAATAAATTTTCTTATCTTTTTTCGTTAAGCCCCCTTTTTTGCAATTTTTAGTACTATATGCCCTCTAACAGACATAGTCTCGTATATTTTGAAAATAAGGCATTAGTGTTGTTAAGCATACAAAAAATTATTAATATATCATTTCAGATTTTTAAATTAGTTGTGAGTGATAATACGTATATTTTGAAAATAAGGCATTAGTGTTGTTAAGCATACAAAAAATTATTAATATATCATTTCAGATTTTTAAATTAGTTGTGACTTGTGAGTGATAATACTCATTTTCGATTGCACTATTTGTTTGACCTTTGGTTGCTCAAGCAATGAATGTTGAGCTCTCAACTCAAAATTTTTTTTTCTCATCCACTAAAAAGCTTTCCTCCACATGAGAAAACTTCAATATCATGCATTTTCAATGCAAAAATCTAAATAGATATGGTAGTTGTATTCATAAGCACTAAGGCTAGTGTAACTGAGAATAATTACAATTGTGACCCTAGCATCAGTAATGGAAATCCCTAAGCCATCAAGCTGGAAAGTAGTCACGCATAATCAAATTTACTAGAGGACATCATTCTTGTTTTTTAAAGAAAGGAGCGCTCGTTAGATTGTCGACCATAATGGCAATTACTGACAAAAATATTTTCTTTTAAAATTCAATCTAAACATATTTCTTTTCATTCATAGGAGACCTTGTTAAAGTGTCGACCATAATAGCAATTTCTGACAAATATATTTTCTTTCAAAATTCAATCTAGACCTATCTCTTTCATTGATAGATATCTAAAGTTGAACACATATCATAATTTTTTACTCGTCCACATAAAATTTTGTCCTGGGATAATAATCTTTAAGCTTTTCATTCTCTCTGTGAGGACCTTCAGTAGTGAATGTTCCAATTTGAAAATCAAGTATCACAATACAATGCTCGCCTTACAGAGATGATCTTTTTGTTGAAATCTTTAGTAAAAAATTCCATGATTGAAATTCGAGGGTTATTCCTTGATACTTATCAGAGAGAGTTTGTCTTTTCGTTAGGATCTTTCGATGGCAATTCTCAAATTGAAATCTAAGAGCAATACTCTGATGCTCATCAAACAAAATTACCTCAATTATTTTAATAGTTAGGACACACGAAAGCAATTTTAGGTTTTTATTTATTTTTTATCATCATTTCATTTTTTTAAGTTAAAAATGAAATGAAAGAGTCTACAAGCTTTCATTTGAGTAGATCTAAAACTAAATACACGGAAAAAATTTTAGTAATAGTAGATCTAGTGGGGGATTGTAACAATGGGTGATCTAGTCATTAAAAGGAGTGAACATTTTAGATATCTCAGGTCTATTGTTCAAAATGATAGTGAAATAGATTGAGATGTTATTAGTAGAATTCAAGTAGGATGGTTGAAGTGGAGGAAAGCATCGATTCTATTTTGTGATAGAAAAATATATCTTATACTTAAAGGAAAATTTTATGAGATGGTGGTAAGACCAACAATGGTTTATAACCTAAAATGTTGGCCTATAAAAGAAAAACATAAAATTAAGTCAAATGTTGTTGAGATATGCTCAAGTGGACGAGTGAATTTATATTTAGAGACAAAATGTGAAATTAATATATTTGTGAAAGGGTTGAAGTAGTTTCAGTGGCACAAAAGGATAAAAAGAGTGGCCTTAGATGTTTTGGTCACATTAAACGTCGATCATCTAATAACTCAGTTAGAAGAGCAGATGATTTATATTTTGACTTATGTTAGGAAAGATAGAGGTAGATCTAAGAAGATCGGGGCATGTCGTATAAAATTTTATCTTAATATATTATAAATAAATGAAAATTATGACACTAAATAGGACAATGAAGAAAAAAATTCATGTAGCCGACCCCACTAAGTGGGATAAAAGGTTGTTGTTAATTGTACTTCCATTTTTTTAATGTGTATTAAAACAAATATATGACAAGCCAAATATGAAAGGAAAAACTTTTCCCAATAGAATCATCAAAAATCAGTGGACTTCAAAAATGTGCACCCTAACCTCCTTCGAAGGTGAATAAAGTACTTGAGATTAGGTTTCATTGTCCTATTTTCATAAGACAAATGAGACAGTAAACATGACACCACCCAAAGATTTTGCCCTCATTTTATTAAAACTCTAAGATATACAGTTTAGCGTAATGGAAGAATACTTGGTAATTATCTCTCTCGATAATGGAAGAATACTTGGTAATAATCTCTCTCGATAATGGAAGAATACTTTTGATTAAGGCAGACCATTAAGTGCTAAAGTATGTAGATTTTTCCTATAATAACGACAATTTAATTTTAGATTATATAATTTTATCATTACAAGCTTAACGCGGATAGTGAGAAGAATGATAAAGAGCTCAATTAGGTCTGTTTGGGGATGCTGCAGTTGTTTGAAGAAACAACTGTGAAGCACTTTTGAAGAAACTACTTTTCAAAAAGTTGTGGTGACTTTATAAATTTATTTGATTTTCAAAAAATCAGACTGCAATATTCTGACAGTCACCACACTTTAACAGCTCAGGTTGAAAAAACAGTTTTCTACCACAAAAATTTTTAAAAAACAGCAAGAAAGTAATTTCCCAAACAAAACTGTGGTGACGATCTGAAAAAGCAAATAAGAGAGAAAATTGTCCTAAACAGACCCTAAGATCACATAATTTCATTATCTCGAGTAATTATAACCCTAGTCTGCCTAATCAGAAGAGACATTCAATCCAACCTAACAAAAGAATTTTTGTCAACAACTATGGGTAATTTTATCCAAATGAACCTTGTCGATCAAGGGTGAATGTTTGTCTAAAAAAACTAATTTAATTCAAATACAGTTAACCGAGAAATTTATAACAAAATAGGTACAACCAATGATTCACAACTTAAAGGGATAGAAATTCATTGAACAGTGACAGTAATATAGTGTAGTTGTTGGGTCAAACCAATTTGATAAAGGATTCAAGTCATGTCGTTAATAGCATATATGATTTCGAGTGTGAATATTGTAGCAACTTAGAATAACATTAGCACTTTGAGAAATTTAGTTAATCATAAATTTTTCGCCCTCAATAAATAATTGTGGAGGGTGAATAAGGTTCAATTTGACATGTAGGTGAGAGAGTTAAGTGGCGTGTACTTGTTGGGTCGTTGCATGAGGAGAGCCTGCAAGCTTAGAAGTGGAGGGCTTCGAGTACTATAGTAGGCAAAGAGGTGTTGTTGAGCATGCACCAAGATGACAAGTCAGAGAAGAGATGGGGGGACAAGGCCCGGCGGACTAGGTGCAAAAGCTAAGTAGTGAGACCTACGAGTGGAGACGGAGCCACAACTCTTAGCATGCAAAAGTGAGTCAAGGGCAGGCGCTCTCAAGCTTGTAAAAATGATGAGAGGGGAAAAGGAGAACAAACAAAATCCAGAGAGTAGAGGAAGGGGACTCGGGACCAGTAGTTGTTGCTTGTGGGTACGACATGGACAGATGAAATAGTATAAGAGTATCATTTAATTTTATATTTTTCTTTTACATGAGAGACCGATCATAGTTTTTCAACAAGGTTTTTACAATGATTGTCAACTACCTAACACAACTCTCCACTTTTGAGCTTAGGACCAATCGCTGACAATGTTGTTTTTTTGTTGTTGTTACATGGGAGACGCGAAGGGAAATTGTCAGTAGAATAGTAGATGAGAGTGAGATATTGACAAAGGATATAATGTGATTAAGAAAATTTAAACGTTTTATAATAACAATAATAGTAATATTATTATTACTATTATTATTATTATTATTATTATAGGAGTTATTTGCCTTTTTAGTTCTCCCTGAACATTTTCTCATTTCTCGTGCATTTCATGTTCACATCATTGCCTCGAATTTAGTGTTCATAGCTTACAAGCGGGGCCTAGAAAATATTAGTGTCGTTTATGGACAATTTAGCATTTTGAAAGTGCTCACGCAGTTCGAGTTAGAATCAAACATCGTTTTAGCAAATTTAATGATTGACAACAACCTC